TTGGAAGTCTTCATGAGACGAGAATGAGAGGTTATATGAAGAAAGTTAGTAGCAGGAATAAAGCGAAAATATTAAAGATGCTTGGAGGAAAAAAATCTGTGTTGATTTTGATAAGCCATTTGCTTTTGACGCAAATAATTGAAATACCTGTGATGACGCAGATTTCGATGAATTGGAATTTGTTTTTTTTGTAAATATGAATATCAAGATGGTTTGACCTAAAGTTTGGTTGCAATTTCCTTCGGCTATAATGGGCTAGTATGGCCTCATTTTTGCAACTTCGTTGGGGCCACAGGGAAACCTTGCGGAAAATTCCCAAGCGTACATCCTCTGCCATATGATTTTGCTCTATCGAATATCGAAGCCACCCTTATAACCCGAAGTCAAAACGAAGTCTCGTAACTCTCCAACTAGTTAAATAAATTTGTCTATCGTTGGGAGACTTTTATTTCGTATAAAAGTGTAGAAAGAGATCCGAAGGTCGATCTCGCCAAAAGTGGACGGCTGATTCCCGTTGTACTGCAGCAGTTTGACTTTAATACGACGCTCAGGTTGGAACAGTCCACAAGATATCCTCGTTCGTTTCGAGTGAAAAAGAGCTGAGTTTCGTCCATCCTATCATGGACATAATCAGAGCTGGAACTCGTTCTCGGACGAAAGCGCAGTCTGTTTTTAACCGAAACGAGATAGGATGTTTCATGGACTGCGTCAATCCGAACGTTGCGTTACAACGAAAATCAGCAGTCGTCTTCCAACGAGATCGACCTTTTAATCTCTTCTCTGTGTACTTTCATACGAAATGAAAGTCTCCCCAACGATATTATCTCAAGAGATGCATCGAAAACCAGCTACTCTTTGTAAGCTTGGCTAATTGAGCTTTTAATTTGTATAAATTAATGTGATTTCGAACCGGCTCTACAAGTTATAAAGCACTGAGTGTTCATGTAAATAGAAAAATTCCTAATTAAAAATAATAAGAGCAGACTAAATAAAAAAGTATGCTAAAAAGTTTGGATCCGACTACCAATGCGTCCATCCCTTAGAACAAGGAAATCAGGTGAATCATTGCACCTAACCTCAAGATAAGCTTCAAAAGCCTATGACTTAAGCCACTGTTTTCAGATACCTGAAAAATTTTTTTGTCTATGTTTGGATGCGTTTGCAATACGGCTGGTGGTCGACGCTCGGAGCCAGTGAGAGCACGTGTGGCGTCAACTTTTATACGAGTACCGGCAGCTTGAGGGGTTGAGGCCTTGACTTGGAGAATGCCGATCAATTCCATTAATTCGAGACCGCCATTGCGACCAGCCTGGATAGTGAGTTTCTCCTCGATGCGCAGATGCAAACTAGGATGGCGAAATTAGATACAAATTAACATAAAACGCATAAGCATAAATAACTAAAAATAATGATAGAAGATATAAAGACCAAGATCGTGTGGCCCCCGAAATGGTTGCAGTCTCCACTCCTTTTATAGAAGTGGGTTGACCTTGTTTTCACAACTTGGTCTTGCTGTCAGGGTGACTCAGTAGAGCGCACCTTGTCCGAAGTCCCCTTCCATACTAGTTATCATAATTTCCAGTATCAGATCGCGGACTTGGTACATTCTCAGACGTTTAGCGGCATCGTAGTTGGCACCACCAGTGAGTCTTGCCATTCTCTGCACCAAGATACAAACTCGTCAAAGAGAAAAGTGAAGTCAATCCCTCGACCAAAGTTCTGCCGAAAACGGTTACACTATCACTCCTCTTTCAGTCCTGGCCCATTCCACACCCGTTAAACGCAGGCTTCGGATGATCATACGCCTCATTATTCCTATCTTTAGCCTGTAATTTTGATGGGACTGGAAAGTGAGTATTATTCCAGCATAAGCCTTCTTTCTGAACAATTTCTTCTTCAGCGTCCCATTAGAGTGAACCACTACCACATGCAGGAAAGGTAACCGCTCACCTTCCTCTGCACTTCCATCATGAATTTAATTTTTTCACCAATCTGACTTATAAACTTCAGAAAATCTTCTTCTCTTCCTTGTGGTCAAAGTGCGAAGTAATCATCCAGGTGACGCATGAACACTGCTGGTTGTAGCGGTGATATCTTGAAATTCTCTTCTATTTAGTTCATGTAGACGTTTGCCAAAAGAGGTGAGGGCGGCGATCCCATGGGAAGTCCAAATATTTGTTGATAGATGGCCTTGTTGAATATAAAATATGGTGTCCTTATTATGAAGTTGATTAGTCGTGTTAACGACTCCCTCCTGATCCATTGTAATTCCAGAATATCCTCCTCTCGGTCCAAGATTTTCAGCAGGGCCGTTAGTGCATTTTCTCTGTAGATATTTGTACACAGATTCTACATTAAAACTTACTAATAAGTCTGTTTATTCCAGTGCCATTTTCTTGATTTTAAGATGAAAATTCATATGAATGCTTCACCTTGTCTAAAAGTTATCGAATTCTGAGATGAAGAGTTG